AGACGGAAATGTAAACAGTGCCTCTAACATGACTTACAGTGATGGTTATTGCTAGCGACCAAGTAAAATGTTTGTATCACAATTTTGTTTCTTCTTGTGAACGCTAGTGGCGCTGTATAATTTGCCATACAAAATTGTGAAGTAATTTACGAGGTCGTTAAGCTACAAATTTTCTAGGATGATCCCTGTGACACTTCTTTTGACGTTTGTCATAGGAATGAGATAAAGTCGATAGATTTTTGGTTTGATTGATCTTTGAAGCAAAGGTTTTTAAAATAATTAATTCCCATGAATTTCGTATAAATAATGTTTATTTTATTTTTGATATCCGATATTATATTTTTAAGGCGTAGGTACCGGAGAAGACACAATTTAAATGTAAATGCAGTTTTTGTTTATGATTTAATAGCCATCGCCAACGATAGGTGAACAATAATAATTGCATATAGCACTAATTAAAGCGTCCTAAAATCTATGAAATTGTTCAAAAATAATTTTGACGTTGATCTTGACATGTATACACATGTCAATTTAATTTATCACGAGTGCTGATACTTTTTGTCTTAATTTGGTTGTTGTTGTTTAGCCATGCTGAAAAGACTCAAAAAGATCGCCCTCATCAGTCAAGTGCGGTAAATTGTAGTGCGTCTATACGTTATATACTTCGCAAGAAACAAAACAATGGACCTCTCCTGCCTCTCAAAAACGTTGCATAGATGTATGAAGTGTATTGTATTGCATTGAAGGCATAAAACACCCAACTAAATTCAAATGTCATTTGTTATTTTAATAAATTTGAGACTCATAATTAAATTAGAAACATTAATATCATATCAGTAATTACCTAATAGGTTAAACTCGTGTACGCAACATATATTTACTCATTAAAACATCGAAAAGTTTTTATCGATATACCTCATCTCTAGCAAATGCAGGCTAATGAAGTAACCTTTGTACGTTGTCGTAAATAAAAATTATTTTTTGATAAAAATTATACTATACTACTACTTTTACTTTAATTTTATGTATATGTTTAAACAAAATCTATTCACTTAAAAGCGAGACTTATAACGCACACACTCAACACACACTCAACATAGCCCTGCACTATGGAAACCCTGTGTCGCGGGTGCCATGGACACACACATAGACAACCACAAATTACACCCAAACTCACGAGAGAAATAAATGTAGGCCATACAAATATTTCTCCGGGTCCGGGAATCGAACCTGGGACGTCCGCGAGGCAATCCGGCATGGTAACCGTTCGGCCACGGAGGCGGTTATTATTATGAAAATAGTGTATAAAACGTGGAAATTAGTGGACGTCGTTACAAGGAATTATGTAGAATTTTGTGAAGTATCGCAGGGATCATCCTAGAAAATTTGTAGTATAGCGACAACTGTGATAGTAAACTCGTGGTAGAGGCACATCAAAACGAAAGATATTATCATAAAAATGAGCTTACTGTGACAGTTGTTGCTAGGATCGCGTAAAGTATTTGACAATTTAATTTTGCAACCTGTACAGTATTTACATAAAAATTATTTACGCGGTCGCTAGCGACGAATGTGATCATAAAGTCATTGCAAAGGTACTGAGTTATAAAACTTCTGACACTTCATTTCACAATTTGCTGTTAAACAATAATTTTCCTCTTCCTTGAATCGAGCACAATGTAAAATTGTATATAAAATAAGTGTATAAAATTATTATAGACATAAAACCAAGACTGCCCTATGAAAGTAAGGAAGTATCTAACTATTACATGAAATGATTACACCATAATAGCTTTGCTATAGATCGCTTAAGCATTAATGGCTTTCCTTTAATAATTCGTATACTTCCTACAATAATTCTTTGATAAAATTTAAGCGATGCTTTAAAATCATAATTCATAACACTTGCCAATGCTTTCTAGAGCATTCGTCGAAGAACTTCGTTGTAAAAGTTATGTCCATAGTAACAAAAAGACATTAAGTTTATGGCAAAAATAAATAGTAATTATAAGAATAATGATTTCCGGGTCATCAAATTAAGTACGTTTAATCACTTCATTTAATTCCAAATCGTTTGTTACTCATCAAAAGGTATGCAATCCCAATAGTTGGCCGATACCAAATAGGCCGAAGAGTAGAATGACTTGATAATGGCGACATAGCAGTTGAAAAAACCATGTAAAAATTATACAATAATCTCAGTACACAGTACTAAAAAAACCGGAAACAAAAGTTCAAGGAACTACATCTATTTGCCAAGTTTTATTGAAATCGGTTTCAGGAAAGTGCGCGAAACCGGATTCATCCCCTAGTTTGCCACCCTTAGAGGTAGAATATTTTCTTAAAATATAAATGGGACCACTAACAAAAAAAGAATCATCAAAATCGGTTTAAATATCGCGAGTTATCGCGTAACAAAAAAAGAAAAAATACAGTCGAAATGAAAAACCTTCTTTTTTGATGTCGGTTACAAAGAGTATATTGGTAATAGAACTCGGTCCATTTCTTATTGGCCTAAAACATACTAAGTCCAGTCATTTAGACTGTCCGAATGCAGCATTTTCTTACATTTTTTGGACCAGGTATAATTACTATAAACCTTAATATCGGAAGAACGGACTGAGTTTACTAGAGATTTGCTTTTGCACAATTTTGTTATTTGACAATATATTGGCTAATAAAGTATGTTGATATGTATTTTACTAAATTGTGTTTACTTCATCTCTTAAAACCGCATTAGTCGACATAGAATCGATTCGCAATATGACTTAGCCCTAAAAAAATTTCCAGTTTGCCTAAAGAAGTCTTAAAACAGCCTGTTCGTAAAATGGCTCATTCTTAATAGACTTGTTCGTAGAATGAATTATTTTTACAGACATTTTCGCCAAATGCCTATATATGCCTAATGCCTTCTTTTAAAAAAGTGTAACTCGTATTTATATGATTATTCCCTCTTTTTTCCTTATATTTACGAAGGTGTTATATAGGTTTCATGCATAGTATTGTTTTATTCTTCTTCTATGGTTTGCATTCCATGTCAATTAGATATTACACGTCAATCAACCTAACGGAAATACATTTTTTTTTATGTTTCACAAGAATTCTTCAACAATTTTCTTCACTGACACTGGCGATGACCGCCATAATTTTTATATTATTCATAAATAATTTACGCTGGCACATGCCTAATGGCCGCCATAAAGGAAATAATCTTACAGGAAGGAAAGAAAATAATAGTAAGTTTCACCCATTGACTTACAAATAAATGGACGACGGGTCTAATACAAAAACCACGAAAAAAATGTCCCAAGTCAACCTATTCGAAATTTAAATTGTAATGTCATCGCAGTATCGCGCTGTCAGTAGAACAAATGAAGACTAAAGCGGAGTTTGGCGCTCTGTATACGATTTTAGCGCCTTACAAGTGCGGACACTTTTTAGCGCGGACCCGACGTCCATATAATTGTAAGTCAATGGTTTCACCCATTTATTTGGGTAGGCAAAGGTTCCACCATAAAGCCTCTTCATATGTTTAATATCATACCTTGTTTTGATGGAAAAGGCGACAAGCGCCTTTCCTTATATCTTGTGTCATGAAGGCTAGATGTTTTAATTATAATAGTTTAAGTCAGGATATGGGACCTACTGATAACGGAAATACGTTTCAAAGGATTAATCGACACACGGATCTAAAAAGTTTAAATAGTCAAGTAATATATTTTGACAACCACAAAACAACAACAAATCTTTGATTTGACACCTTGTTGGATAAATTGCTTTTTAAATTTATTACGATGTCGTGTTACGTTTACATGTTATCTATAAATGCATAATAGAAAATGTCAAAGCTACAAATTTATCAGTACATTTTTACGATTTCTTTATTAGAATGTCTAGATAAAAATTCCTCAATAACGATATAAACAATAGTCAATCTGCGATATTATGTCATTGGATTACTTTCACGCGATCGCCCCGGGCGGCATGCCTACACCGGTAGAAATCAGATCATATCTTATGCTCAGCTAGGAAATTACTCCTAATTCCTGTCACGTATTAGATATACGGACTGAAATACTACACAAATGCAGATTTTATAGTTTAACTTGAGTATCACCTATATGGTCGGTCCTCTATCTTCTAGATTCAGATGAAATTGATATTATTGGTTTCAAACACGCAGTAACAAAACCTTTACACAAGCAAAGAAAGTTGATCAAACTGTGCTAACCGTTTTTCTGCTTCTTAATCAGTATAACCAATATCCCAAAAATAAACTGGTTTCTTCGGACAATTCGGAATACTTTGCATATGTACGTTGTGACTGCAAGATATAAGTATAATCTGTTCTATTACAAGAGTGTCAGTTTAAATAAAATCATTTATTTTCAACGTGAAAGTTTTTTAAAGTATTACATGATTTAGATTCCTAGATTGGCGACAAAGTGGATTCTTCAGTTTCCCATGCCATTTTGCATACACTGCGTATATATACAGCAACCGCATTCAATCTAAACATTGTTTCGCACACTTTGAAGCTATGTATCATTGGGCCGCAATCTTGATTTCTTATGCAGTTCACTTTCTCTGCATGCAATTTTATGAACAAAAGTTGTTGAAATAAGGGTTTCCGTATGTTATCATTTTATCTTTCTTGATAAATGGTTTTCCTTACTCAGAAAAGCTTATTGGATAGATAATGGTCCAATTGCGCGCACTATTGATCTTGCTCGTTACGTAATTTCCATAGAGCAGATGAGATTTCGTTTAGGATCCAGTACCTGTAACAAAAAGATTAAGTGCTTTGTGACAAACTTCTGACAATGTTAGGAAAAAAGCCACTCATTATCGCATACTTTTACTCTAATGAGAAGTTAAACATTACACATTATGAAGAAAACATTGTTTGAAACTGAACAAAAATTGTCATATTTATCATAGTTAATAACATTGTATCAGCAACGGCAACGAAAATAATAAATACTTCTTTCAATTTTTAGATTCGAGAGAGGTCAATCAACGCAACAATTCCTGCCTGCGATGCAGCATAACATGCGGCCGCCGCGCCGGCAGCCACCCCCAATCGCCACCGAGCCCAGGCGAAGAAGCAGGCCACCAGACCGACACAAAAAAACTCTATAAACCCCTAGTCCTAACCAAAGCTGCGCTGTGATATTGGCCACTATTCGAAACTGTGATTTAAAGCCACAAACCCTCAACCATTAAAAGAAGCTGTGATTTCATTAGTGACAGAAACGCTCACCTCGATTTGCCAATAAAGGTCAAAGAAATTATAGAATTGTTTTTAGCGAAAACGCTAAAGGCTGCGAAATCACATCCGCGTGAAAAACCGGATCATCTCTTTAGCTTCGAAGTAGACGGTTAATTAAAATGGCAGTTCATGTCCTTTTAGCATCCACAGCGCTGAAAACAATCAGTGTTACTGGACTATGGTTGATACCGCTCCTGCTTGGGGCGCTTACATATCATAATTATAATTCTTATGATCCAGAAGCGAAGGTTCTGGACAAAGAACCGCGGATGGAATATGACTTTATCGTGGTCGGTGGAGGATCTGCTGGTGCCGTAGTCGCGAACCGCTTGACTGAAGTCAAGAACTGGAACGTGTTGCTTCTTGAAAGTGGTATGCATAAATCCAAATGTTAAGTAAATAGATATTCTATTCTTAGACGCTTAAAGCACCTACATACACGATGGCAAATCTAAATGTTCAATTATTTTTCTATGGACTGTTTATTTAGAAATATCTTTCGCGGTGAAAGATTTTTCGAAATCAAACAAGTTCTAATCCAACATATAACGACAAAAAATCCTACATTCGAAATCTCTTTCGGTCACCCATATAGATATGACAATCTTAATACCCTAATTTCAGGACCAGACGAGAACGAGATCACAGACGTCCCTTCGCTAGCTGGGTACTTACAGTTGACGAAGCTCGACTGGCAATACAAGACCGAGCCCACCAACTATGCTTGCCTTGGCTTCAAGAAAAAACGCTGCAGTTGGCCTAGAGGAAAGGTAATTATAATTTCTTCTATAACAAAAAAGTAGGCAGCTTATTTTAAGTTTTTTTTTAAATTATCGGTTTAAAAAACATCAAACTTTAAAAACTATACTATACTCGGTCAAGCGTATGTGCGCTATTATAGTTTCTGATTCTGCCAATTTCAATAATGTTAGTGTATAATTATAGCCCACAGCATCATAAAAATTACGTCACTTCGTTTCTATCTCCAACTTTTGAAGTTCTTCATAGGAAAATGTACTTGCTACATTTTACGTGAAGAATTTTACATTATCTTAACAGTTTTTTTATTTACTTTATTACTTTAAAAGTGTGATTAGCTAATCAAACTAAAAAAAATAATTTCAAAACTAAGAGTAGATTTCGGTAAATTTTCAGGTGCTCGGCGGTTCCAGTGTACTCAACTATATGATCTACGTTCGAGGCAACAGACACGACTTCGATCAATGGGAGTCAATGGGCAATCCTGGGTGGAATTACAAAGAAGTTCTCAAATATTTCATCAAGTCCGAAGATAATCGGAATCCTTACTTAGCCCGAAGTAAATACCACGGAAGAGGAGGATACTTAACCGTCCAAGAAGCTCCGTGGAGAACGCCCCTAGTAGCTGCGTTCGTAGAAGCAGGAGTCGAAATTGGATATGAAAACAGAGACATAAACGGAGCCATTCAAACTGGCTTCATGATAGCCCAAGGAACTATAAGAAGAGGAACCCGTTGCAGTACAGCGAAGGCTTTTCTAAGACCTGTGAGGACGAGAATGAATCTTGACGTGTCTTTAAATACTCAAGCCACAAGGGTTCTAATAAACCCTATAACAATGAAAGCTTATGGAGTAGAATTTGTCAAGCAAGGGGTAAAAAGAGTTGTATATGCAAGAAAAGAGGTAATTCTTTCTGCTGGCGCAATTAACAGTCCTCAGTTATTAATGTTATCGGGCATAGGACCGAAAGATCATTTACGAGATGTTGGAATTAAGGTCTTAAAAGATTTACCAGTTGGCGAAAACTTGCAAGACCATGTTGGTGTTGGGGGATTGACGTTTCTAGTCGACAAACCCGTTGCGATCGTCCAAAACCGTTTCCAAGCATTCCCTGTCACAATGAATTATGTAATAAACGAACGAGGCCCAATGACGACTCTTGGAGGTCTCGAAGGCGTTGCCTTTGTTAATACTAAGTACGCAAATAGCTCTGGGTTATGGCCAGATATACAATTTCACATGGCACCAGCTTCATTTTCAGCTGACAACGGTCAAGTTGTTCGAAAAATTTTAGGCTTGACCGATGAATTATACAACACAGTATACAAGCCCATAGCGAATAAAGACGCGTGGACTATTATGCCTCTTTTATTGCGACCAAATACAAGAGGATACGTAAGACTGCGTAGTTCTAATCCATTCCATTACCCAATAATGAATCCTCGATACCATGAGGATTCTTTGGACGTCGCTCGATTAGTCGAAGGCATCAAGATTGCTGTGAAAGTAGCGAATGCGTCTCCGTTCAAACAATTTGGATCGAGATTATACATGAAGCCTTTACCGAATTGTAAGCAACACAAGTTCATGTCTGACGAGTATATTGAGTGCCAAGTGAGGACTATATCTATGACTATATACCACCAAAGTGGGACAACAAAAATGGGGCCTTCTTGGGACCCTGAAGCCGTCGTAGATCCTAGGTTAAGGGTGCATGGTATAGAAGGACTGAGAGTAATAGATGCTAGTATAATGCCGACGATAGTGAGCGGTAACACGAACGCAGCTGTCATAATGATTGGTGAGAAAGGTTCGGACTTGATAAAACAAGACTGGTTGAATCGGTGATGGTGATATTTAAGAGCGCGGTTAACAACATAAAGCTTTCTAGCTTATCTATTATATATTACGCAAACTCTAGCAGTTTCATTAAATTTATTAGCGCCCATAATGTATAGGAATTATTATACGCCTAGTGTTTTAGATATGTTCAAAGAACCATTTGTTATATTACACGCTGCTGCTACTGCTAGCTGTACCTGGCCTGAGTTGCAATGTCACTTAGCAACTTTAATTTACTGGCCGACAATCCTAAAATGGTTCTAATACTTTCAAAACTATTGCGAGGGTGGACATAACAACGAGTTTCATCGCAATCGGATGAATAATAAATGAACGTATGGGGGATAAACAGAAATATTCCTTTCAATATACACAGAAACCTAAAATATCAACGGAGTTCGGGCACTAACGCAAAATGAGCAAGATCAAAGGAAATGTACTACTAACAATGTAAAATTACGAACGAAACAGTGAATACAATGACCATAATAAAGAACCAAGCGCCGAAAACAAGTACATTTAAATTTAGAATTTCAATTTTAAACTAAACTGCTAAAAAGACTAAAATCATGAAATATGTACAAAAGAACTGCTGCGAATCGCTACAAATATGTTGTTAATCGTGCTTCTTTATTAATAACATGTTACCAATACTTGTTTCGTTTATAGTTAAGCAGTTTTTACTTCGTCTACTAAAATAAAAAAAACCTATTATCTACCAAAACTCCGAAACAAAACATTACACACCCTTGATATAATAAAGTGTATTAATCATAGATACGTCAAAAGTACTTTAATGATATGAAAGTCATATAATAGGAACTATATAAAACAAATTCAGTACTTATTTTTTAATTTCATAACTTTCTTATTTCAGCATAAAAAAGTTAATGGCGAATAGCGTAAATAGAATCTTTTAACCCCTAAAAAGTTATCAATTTGCAGATGTGGCTTTATTACACCAAAGGGCGCGTATGTAGTTGATTCACTCTAAACGCCTGCGTGAATGGCATCAGCAAAGTATTGGTTTGACAAAACTATCTTTAATAATATAGTTGGTACATTAAACATTGGGATTTTATCTACTATATTACTACACTTGTAAATACTAATTATAAGTAGACTGTTCTTGTACCTTAGTTCTTATTTATTTGATTTTGTGTTACCTTTTAGTCGCTCCAAGTACATGTCAAATAAATAGTTTTACCTGTTTACTGTAAGTTGAAGATAGGGAGTTCTGTCTAGTGTTGGGCAGCGATTCGAAAAATTTTATATTACATAAATTGTTCAGAAAAATTCTAACATAGGAGAAAATTTGAAAAAATATTGAGAAATTTTTTTCTATACCGTCGCCTACGCTTACGCGTTTCACATAGTTCGTTTTTACTCATTTTTGTTGATGAAAAACTTATAAACTTCTTGCTCAAATATATTATTAAAGTATTACAGTATTTGAAAGAGGTATAATTTAACTATTTAAAAATGCTAACTACGTACATTATTGCGTTTACTACATTTTACACCACATTTTTATCTTAGTCCTGAAAAATTACATACAAATCACATAAGTGGTATTCACTCTCAAGGCGATGATATGGATATTTTTCCATATGACCCAACACTAGATCTATCATAGTTAGTGCCATATTTATATTTTGCTAGTGTTGTTATTGTCATTCGTACCTTAATCTCACCGTCATGAGGCATTATTATGTTCACTATTTCTAGTTCTATTCTAATTGTCAAAAAATTAATACTTACACATAAAATTAGAAGATTTGATTTCTGATTTATCTTTATACTTTTTCATTACAGAGTTTTTTCTGAAAGCCAATTTTATTTGAAGGCCACCACATACGGGACGATGTGTCTTCACGATCCGTCGTTTGGTACCGATCGACGATCAACTTGAACGCCAGGGTAGTAGCGACGGATCAATATGATTATCGTGACGATCGAAACTAGGAGTCGTGTGTATATGGGGGCCTTAAAACACTAATAGATTGCTATAACAATACATTTAAATAAAGGACCTTATTTCGAAGTATAGGGGAGTAGCGACGTATGGATATGATTATCGTGACAATCGAAACAAGGACTCGTGTGTATATGGGGACATTAAAGCACTGATAGGTTGCTATAACAACAAATTTCAATAAAGGACTTTATTCGCATTTATACTGAAGTTGCACTTAATTTTACGTTGATATCCTAAAACCCTATAGTTGTAATAAGGTCACGTTTCGGAATTGTTGTGTTCTTGGTTAATACAATAATTATAACATCTCTCCGTGTACAATAAAACACCTATATGTGTATAGTGTGATGCCCTATTGTTATTTCTAATTCTTCCGACATTGTTCTGCTTGTGACCTGAATTTCATGTCCATGTGTATATATAGACAAACTGGACGCCTACGATAAAGCTTGGGTCCAGTTAACTCAAGACCGGGATGCGTGGAGGGATCAGGGGGAGGCCTTTGCTCAGCAGTGGGATACATCTAATCTAATAGGCTAATCGTAATTGTGTATATGTATCACATACTAGCTGTACATGGACAAAAACTGTTTGTATTCCAGCTCTGCAAAAGATGGCCTTACTTTTATCCATTTATCCATCACGCGTTCTTGAGACATACGGTGTTCCTAACGATTTTGATAATTTTTACTTTTTTGTCTTTTAATTCATTTTATAAATGAATAAAATCTAATATATTTTTTAAACGGTGTATGAAAACACAGCAGCGCGTTAGAAACACTGAGTGGCTTTCGATCACTACAATGCCAAAATACAAATGACGGATTAAGGAAGATCCGTGCTCTGCAGTGGAATTTAAGACTTCAGAAACTTTTTTGAAAGTTTAAATAAAATAGAGCGCACACGGAACAAACATATAAGCAACATTCATTTTTAAATATGTGTATAAACAATCCTAATTATATTAACATTCGAGTATTTTCCATCTCATCTTCACATAAAACCATCATCATCTGTTTTCATATAAAATCATTTAATTACAGTGTTATCTAATGTTTTTTGTTAAAGTTTCCAAATATTAATTATAACATAACTGTTATCAAATGATCACGTGTTTGTAAATAATGTACAATAAATACATTTTTATAATTTTGTTATGCAATAAAAAGTGTTACCAATTTTTAACCGATTTTAATTTTTCATTTTTTTTTCTTTTACAGGACTAAACAATCCCAGAGCCTTTAGTCAATTAATGGAAAATAATAATAACTGACTTATTAATTATAGCAGCTGACAAGTTGGATGTCATAAATATTATCATATCCATACGCTATGTTACTTAAAAGGAATGTTTCGATGAGCATCACAAAAATATTGATTTTTTTTCTCATATTTGGTCAGTTAGCTTACTAGATGAGGCAAGCAATTTTATTTGAGTTTTAGTTTTTTTTTTATAATATTAAATGACGGAATGAACAAGTCGTGCGCCGGATGGGAAGCTACACGCCTATCCATAACAGTTGAAAGAGCTTTAAATCGCAAAGATGTGAGGGGTACTGCCATTGCGCCCGTCACACTGAGACATAAGTTGACAAGTCCCATGTGCGTGTAATTTCATCAACACCCTTACTATACAAAACTGAAACTCAGTAATGCTCACATTATTGCTTGGCGGCAGAAATAGGTAAGCTGGCAGTACTACCCTGGATCAACCTTTCACAAGGAGGTCTACTCCTGCTAATTAGTTAGTCTTTTAGTAATATTATTTGATTAGGTTTAGAACTAGAAATAAAGAAAGTGTGACAGTCGTGAAAGTTCAAATCAAAGTATAACTCTGAGGCAAGCAATTTCCAAATGTTTTGGAATGCAGTATTACTTTGTAGCCCAGCCTTAGATAAATAAGAATGCAGAAGGCTCGGTCCTCTAGATTTGTTGTAAGAAATTTAAAAAAAGAGGAAAAGGAAGGCCCAAAAGCGCCTGTACAAGTGTATAATAAATTTAATAATCATTGACATGAAGTTTAACATAAGGAATCGAAGGTGATTTGTGATTTATGGGAACGTTCTCTTGTTTCAAGAATTTTGATGGAAGTGACGACGGATCGAACAAACGTAAAAATGGATGGTTTCAAAATTTTAAAAATCAGTGTCCAGGAACTAGAAAAGCGGATGATAAAAAGGTAGGATAACAATGAAGGAGGTCAGCATCGTCACAACTTTGCTTTTAAAAATAAAAAAGTCTCCATGAAACAAATTATACTATCTACAATATTTAATGTATTTGCCCTCCGTGTCCTTGCCTTGGGACGCCCTGTATAGTCAATGCTAGCGCCCCTATTTTAGGGTTCAAAAGAAATTTGTTAGCCTTAATTACGAATTTAAATTTTACGAGTACTATACAGTTATAGAAAATGCACTTAACGAATTTGCAATCGCATAACTACTAAGTTATGCGATTGCAAATTCGTTAACAATATATTCATTAGAATATATTGTTATCTCTAGGAGGTCTGTATGCAAAATCTGCAGTCTGCATTCTACCGCAGGCTTATTAGTAATAGAAAGTGTGACTTGTAATATTTTTGATGTTTTTTTTATAATATAAAGTGACGAGACTAACAAGTCGTGGGCCTGGTGATAAGCTACACATAACAGTTGCGTTTTAAAGCTCTGAGTGGCAACTCAGAGCTTTAAAACGCAAAGATCTGAGAGGTGCTGCCACTGCGCCTGTCACCCTGAGACATAAGTTGACAAGTCCCATGTGCCTGTAATATCACCTATAATATTACCTATTTTTGCCGCCAAGCAGTAATGGCGGCAAAAATAGGTAAGGTGGCAGTGCTTCCCTGGACGAACTATTTCACAAGGAACGCTACTGGTACTAAAATGTTGTCCCCAACCTACGTAAGGCACAATTTACAACGCCGTGGTATGGAATGGACTATGTCAATTGTGTAACGTATAGACTATATACGATACGGTAGCAATTCCCCGGAACATGACTGCCATTTTTTTGGCTCATATCTATAATAGTTTGTATATTATACATTTGACATAAAGTTCATTATGATGTAGTTTCAAAAACTGGCTTCCATTCCGTTCCGCGGCAACGTAAATTGATCTTTTAGTTTCCATCTTTAGCGGCCATCTTGTTTATTTAAAAGTCGAATTTCACGTCCGGTAGAAATTGCCCATAGTGTAACTCGTAAAAGTACAGAGACATCCTTGAAGCATTGTGTTTTTGTTGTAGGGGATATAAAAAACTAGACCACTCTCGATTCTGACGTCAAAATTAATGAAAATTAATTTGCAACAACTAACATCCGCCGACGGAATACAAAATCTGCATACGAATTTTACCTATTACCAAGTTTCTCATTTCAAGAAAATTACTTACTCAATTAGTTGAATCATGTTTTAATATTACGAAATTTAGTGACTAACGCAAATATTGCATTTTCTATGCGTAACAAAGTGTGATTATAAATCTAAAATCAGTATATTGCAGACGTTACATTCATAGACATGCCAATGACTAACGAACAATGGACTACAATTTTGCCGTATCCTGCTGTAAAACGTATGTTTATTATTACGGAGTGAACTAATTACGCAACTTCACCATTAATCGTTATCTTAAATTGAAACTTGAAAAAACAGCTCGATATGATCCAGAAATACAATTTTGAATCACGGGTACTTAATGTTGTAGAGCATAGTTTCCCAAATTGGTCCCTACCGCACCCCAGTGGGCGCTGAAGAGTACCTCGGAAGTAATTTGGGGCATTGATGCTGTCCAGGGTATGTATGCTACCGTATTTGAAAAAAGAACCTGAATTATGTATTGGCACCATAGATATAGAAAAAAAGGGGAGATTTGGTATGTGGACGTGGTTCCGACATCGCCACAGTGACATGGCGATCGTTGTACATACAAGATCACTCGTAAAACGTGAAAATGCCAAGTTGTAGCAATATACCTTGTAAAAATTGGAGTGAAAACAAAAATTTTAAAACCGCTGAGATAACATTCCACCGGCTATTTGCATTTTTAGTTACTATTTTTTTTTATTATTAAATATTTTCTTTTTGTCTCCATAGAAATTTCTAGACTAAATATAGTGATGTTCATTTACGATGACTGATGTTCATCGACAATACATTTTTACTGAAATGTGTGAATTTTTTACTATGATCTTTGTAATTAAAGTCCTTAAAATATCGAAGCGAAAAGCTTTCACTATTTATTTTATTTTATTATTATTACTAAACATTTTATTACGAGTAACTTTAACACAACTCATATTTCGGACAACCGTTTCAATTTCATGTCAATTTGTAAGTTGCCGTTGCTTGAAGAAAAATGTATGTGTATTATTGTTTTAGATAATTTAGGTACCTATTAAATTCCATTATACTCGTAGATTAAAACTAGAGTATTATTAATTTTTAGTTTAAGTTTAGTTTAAGTTTTTCCAATGAGTTCAAAATAAAAGAAGGTTGAATTGAAGCTGCAGGAAAATCGAAATATTCGTTTTCTTATTACTATTTCTGGCTTTGTTTAAATTTCCATAGCGAATGCATTTAAAAAATAAATAAAATAAAATCGGCTTTATTTTACATGTGCATGCAAAATAAATTAGAATGAATTATAGAAAATTACATAAATCCTTCATAAAAAACAACATAATTTAATTTATTAAATTCGTTGATGGTTCGAGTTTACTCTTGACAGTGACAGCTGCACCAACCCGTATTATTATATTCTTATAAAACTGACACTGGCCCAAGCCTAGTGGCCGCCATAAAGAAAATAATAATAATTTATATTAATACATTAATTTAATAATACACCTGTACCAGTGTAGGTATAGTATGAAAAATGGAATATTTTTTTAAGATTAAAAACAGCCACATGATTTGTAACTGTCGATTAGGTAGGAACACATCACTCGTTGAGTAGCGTCAGTTTAAGGTTAACAATTCACGGAGCGGTTTCTATCAGCTCCCGCCGGTGCTGCTAGACAGCGGTTTTATTTCAATACTCACGACCCAGCAAATTTATGCGGGCACGTAGCCGCCGCGGTTGCGGGCACGAATCCGTTGCGATTGCGGAACGGACCGCGAAGTTAATCGCAAGTCGCGCGGTTAATAGAGAACTCATCCCGCGTGCGCTTGCGCCACATTGCGCCTGCACCGACCGAGAAAGTGCGCGGGCGACGACGGCCGCCAAGCGCGCAGGTGATCGCGTCCTGCGCGGTTCTACTAGTACCCTGCCGCGGCAACCGCGAGCACTCCACTAGCGTCACCACTACAGGCGTAAAACGCGCCGTGAAATATGCTACTAATTTTACATACTTAACTATTACATTCTACAGATGTCGCGGTCCCGCGGCAGACGCGGGTGAAAACCGCTCAGTGAGTTCGTAGTGTAACGAAAAATGAGTTTCAGCGCCATCTAACGTGTAATAGTTAGCGATTATACTAGTAGCATTTTTACTAAAACGCCACCTGATGGTGAATGGCTGAACCAGGATGAAAAAAAATACTGAAATATTGTAATATAACTCTAACTCAAGTGACAGTAAGTTTAGTTATTGTGTTACGTCATTTTCACGTTTTTAAGCCCTACCCAATCAAAATCTTTAAGTTGTGGTAGTAGATAATAGAGCGTAAAGTTTGAATTGCACACAAGCTAAAAAGTGGCGACATCGGTACCCGATCTTACATACCGTCATTACATATCTCCCCTTTTTTCCTATATCTATGATTTGCACTATACAGATTTATATTTCGTTTCTTTGTGATTTTTGTGTTAATATAAAAAATTCGTGTTTTCAATAATTTTTTGTGGTGGTGGACGTTGAAATTTTTTTATCTTGCCAAGATGGACGGTGAGCTAAAAAGTTTGGGAACCTATGTTGTAGAGGAAACAATATTGATAATACGTATAATATACATACAAGCTGTGGCAGCCTTGGTTTGATCTACC